TGTAAATAAAATTTAAACTAGATTTTCCTATTAATTTTAAAATTTAAGAATAAATTTTTTAACAAGCACCCGTGTATTACACAAGTGTTTTACTAGTAATAAAATAAAAAGAAAAACTTGTTGAGACTTGCGAGATTGTTCATGAGAAGAGAAATTGAATCGTGTTATGTCGGGTAGGCCAGCAGACCGCCAAAACTCACGGCTCGCGCAGGCCAACCCGTGTAGACCCGTTCTTTGGCGAGCCTTTAAAATAGCAACTCGACTTTCCTATTAGGAGGGGCAAGGCGGGCCGACCCGCTTACCTAAGCCCATTTTGACAAGCCTACTCATGGGCTTCTAGTGCTCGAACTTTGTAAACCCTATGCTCATCCAGCCTAGACTTGATGGGCTAGTCCAAAGTCTTGAGTATCATGTGTAGTTAATGCATCCCCTTACATCTATTAATATATAATAAGGATTAACATAATTCAATTTTAGAAACTCTTTCCCGCCAATTTCATTAATTATTGTCTAAAACTAGTAAATTAATAAAATTGCTATTTATTTGTTGATAAACGGAATTGATCAACCTTTTAAATGTTAATTTTCTTGATAATGCGGAAATGAAGTGATTTTATTAGTTAAACGGGAGGTATTTTACAATAGATTCAAGTCGGTATTTCGGACTTGAAATCGGGTTTTCAATAGTACAATAATACCGTTATGGGCGATGAACCGAGGTGATAAATACATAATTTAATGTTCCGAAAAAAGGATCCTCGTATCATGTTTAATGCTGCTATTTATAGCAACTGTGGGCTCTTCTTTTGAGGAGAATCGGCGACATTAAATGCTGAATGACACTTGGACGCAGCTTTTTTTGTTGGTGGGCCCCCTAGCAATGATGCCCTCACGTGGGTCGAGACAATTAATTCGATGGGTATTTAATGCGGTCTCTGACGACCTGATGTCGACTCTCCATAAGTCGGGTTTTCCCCGAGGTCCACCCCTTAAGAGGTCGGCTCCTTCAGCTCGGTAAACTTTTCCCTTTTTCTTGTGTCGGCGCGACTCTCAACCCTCTCCACAATCCACGTGTCGTTCATCCGACGTGCGAGAAGATCCTTATGTCAACATTATTAATAACAAATTCCCGCCATTTCATTAATTACCTTCTATATAGAGAAACAATACACAAGTGAATCATTAATTGCTGGAGATAATCTATCCGTTAGAAAATAAAATTTAATTGCTGATGATAATCTATCCGTTAAAATAGGAAATAAATTTGTAATTTATTTTGTCAAATTGAGTTTTTTAGTTAATCCTTCTATAACACGTTTGTGCAGACGGAATGCGTAGATACAACCTCAAATTATTTTAAATGTGATTCTTTTTTTTATCCAATAATACTTCATCAACACAAACATTAACCAGTAAAATAATATTTGGCTACATATTATTACCTAGGTATATACAACCTCAAATGAATTAAATCATATAGTACCTAAGTTCACTTTAATGTATAAATCATTAGAATAATAAAAAATAAACATTTTCTAGATAACATATATGATTTTATTTTTATTTTTTTCCTAATTACGATGTAAAAATACTTTTCAATAAAAGTAACATGCTTCATAATCTATATCTATTTGAGTATTAGTATTCCTTTAGTTTAAATCTATTTGTTTATAAATATATATAATATTATATTGTACTCATATCGGCATTTTCAATTAATAATTATCATTTAAACAACAAATGATTATTTATTCTACTACGTGCCAATATTTTGTTTTGTTTAATATTGTAAAATATTAAATTCAACACTACGTGCCAATATTTTGTTTTGTTTAATATTGTAAAATATTAAATTCAACACGTTTTGAATGGAAACAAATCTGACGTAAATTGAGAGTAAGAATCAACAAGACAAATACAAAAATGCACTAATCATGGCATAAAAAAAAAGAGCGCTATTATAAAATTGATAAATACACAATTTGATCTTTAAGGGAAATTTGATTTACATGTTTCTATATACATATAAATAAATATCATATTTGAACTTAAAATTTTTTTTTTCACATATATGCAATATACAACTTAAATAATCATTTAAAAGTAGCAATATATTGTAAAGATTTCATTTCAAATTTAAACAANAAAAAAAAAAAAAAAAAAAAAATCAAATCGGTCAAAAAGCAAGAATAAAATAACAAAATATATAAATAAAAAAACTCACTAATCATGTAACAAGTTTTTAAAAGTACCACAATATTCCGTTCACCTTTTCACTAATCATGTATCCTATTACATTCAAAGTTATTCAAAGAATGGAGTCAAATCTATCTATATAAAATAAGAATAAGGTTAAATCATTTTCCGAAAGAATTTTCCGCCAAAATCATTAATTAGATACTAAAAAGGGGTAAATTATATATATATATATATATATATATATATATATAGTTGAGATCATATGAGAAAGAGACACAGTGAAAGAAATAAGAATGAATCATAACCGTTGGATGTGATATATCAACGCTCTAGACGCGGTCAAAGACTCTAACTTTAGTCAAACGCGCGGTGACATTATTGTAAATAAGTAGACATTTGATTTTTCACGCAGGGACATTTTAGTCATTGCAAAAATGCACTGCTAAGCTAAAGTGCAATATGACAGACACTAATGTGCAATGCGTCTATAAATAAAGTGCAATCTGTAGAACAGTTATTTTTAAGGTGCATATTCAAGCTTTATATTGTGCAATGCTTTGTACATTAATGTGCAATTATTAAAGTTTTATTAATTTACAGATTTGACCCATAAATTAAACTGTAATATATTAAAAACTTTTAAAATTGTAATTAGATCCATGGACTTGTCAAATTTTCACAAATCAATTAGCCCCAAATCAAGTTTTCTCAGGCCATTTTTTCGGACATCAACAACCCACGCGTGGTTGCCGGAGGGTCCAACTATGAGAAGAAGCAGTCTTATGATGATGATTTCGTAGTTGATGAGTCGACATCAATTTCGACGGGTCGGAGAAGCAGTGAACTATTAGGTTTTCAGGTTGATTACGATGAAGACGATTGAGCTGACAAATTGTGTTTTCTGGTTACTGATGAAGACGATTGAGCGGTCTCCGATCACCAGCCTCCTTGGACGGGATAGGCGGCGGCGGCGACGAGGGGGATGCGGACGTCTCTTAAGCTCTCCTTTCTTCTCCGCGCGATTTCTGTAGGTGGTGGCGGGACTGATGTGACGGCGGAGCAAGGTGGTGGAGGGACTGGCTGGTTCGGCGGACGGCAGATGACGGACGGCGGGCGTGAGCGGCTGGTGGAATTCTGACCGGCGGGCAGATTGGTTGGGGAGGATTTGCAGATTAGTTGGGATCGTGATTTGCAGTCTGTGCGTGTGTGGAGGTGGGGGTGAAGTGAGGTAGGGCAAGGCTCACTAGTTGTGATGGTGCAATGTCTAATTTACCCTTGTGTAATGGTGTAATATCTAGTTTACCCTTAATCAATGTAAATATTTTGGCTTTTTTTTAGCCTTTGGATGACCAGTTTTAATGGCTGAGATGCATTCTTATTTCTTTCCCTGAGTATCATTCTCACTTGAACCCAACCCTATATATATATATGCATATATATATATATACATATATATATATATATATATATTTCTTCTTAAGTTTTTTCAGATTAGAAAAAAATATTAAATGCACTGCCACAATCTCGATTGTTCTTTGTCATACTCAGTTTTTGTTGTAGAAAAAATATTTTTGAATTTTGTGTTGTGAACATTTTGAATCTAATTAAAATAAATTATTTTATGGTAATGATTTTGTTGAGTGTATTTTTTTCTTCATAGAAGATTTTTAACCACCGATTAATAAAATGAAATCTCATTCTAATTATGGACAATACATATATTTTTATATTTTAAAACAAAATTTAAAACTGCAACGGAATTAAACAAGTTATATTCTCAATTTTATTTTTATATTTTTTTTTAAATAAAAATAAGCTATAAAAGTGTGATATAAATAACTACAACAGTTCGATCATTCCCATTCAAAATGTAACAAATGTTTTTTTGAATAAATAGCATTCAAATTTTCAGGATACACGATTAACATTCAAGCTTATCATTTACATATACAAAAAAAAATACGATTTTCATATCCTTATTTATCACGTAAAAGAATTATACATTATGAATCCAAGCAAGAAAATGATTGTCTTATTCAAAAGAGATATACACAAGAACCATGCAAAATGAATTATAAATATACACAAATTAGGTTATTTATGAAATATTTTTCCTTAAGAAATATGATTTACATGTCATCCGATTCATTTAGTTAGTTTTGAAGTATAAATGATATAATATCATTGTTATTTTTTTAACGTAATTATATTTGTAAATATTGTTTACAAATGATACCATCGAAATTCCAAATCTCTGTTAAAATATAAAAAAAAAAAACAAAATGTTCTAGATATTGGAATAGATTTGGAATAAAAAATGAGAATGATTGGAAAAAGATATACTATAAATCCGCACTTTAAGGTAACAACTTTTGTTATATTCCATATAAAATTAAATTTCACCTCATAAATCATATCTTTAATATTTGTCACATTATTACATATTTTTACTATAATTTTATTTCGTGGTGTTGGCATTCCAAAAATCAGCACATAGTTAGAGTAATGAGGTGTTTATCAATTACCAAGTGGAGAAAATATCGTTCTACAATTGTCAACTGCCAAATGATTTTGCATGGAAAAACGATGAAATTTTTAATAATGCACGACTTTTTTCTTGACGAAAATTGTATGATTAGTTGACAAATCCTCTACGTATCATAACTTATATATAAATAGCCTTCTATTCATAAATTTTATCAAAATAAATACAACCCATACATCGCACGAGGAACGTACTAGTTAAACTAACCAAACATCGTCCGATTTGTTAAAAAAAAAAAATCCCAAATAATGAAGAAATGATTTCTAAGTCTCCCCAATTTGAAGTCCACGCTCTCTCCCACTCCCCACGCGCTTACCTCCCCAATCACTTTCCCCGTTTCCCCGTATATTCATGGGTCGTCGTTGCCAAAAGTCTCAATCTTCACCCACAACCCGTTCTCAGCTCCCCCTTTTTCTCTCTTCTCTCCAACGCCATGAAAGAACCTGCAGATGAACAGCCCATCAAGCTCAATCCCCACCTCGCAGACATTCAACAGCTCCTCCACTCCCTATTGGAATCCGCTTCCCATGTCCAAATCTTGAAGTCCAAATGGTCGCTCATAATCAATAAGCTCTCCACTCTACAGGCCCGCCTCTCGGACCTCTCCATTCCTTCCGCCGGAGATAATCCACTCTCCTGCGAGCTTCTCCGCTCCGTCTCCTCCACCTTCGCCTCCGCCTCGTCCCTCGCCGCCGTCTGCCGCTCGCCCACTCCACCGGGGGGCAAGCTCAGGACCCAGAACGAGGTCGACTCCCTATCCGCCAAGCTCGATGCCCACATCAACGACCTCGAGGTGCTCGCGAAGAGCGGCGCCCTGTCGGAGCCGAACGCTGCCGTTTCGTCCGGAATATTCCCAGCCAGTAGAAGGGAATCGGTTCGGGCCGAGGCCCGGAATCTGATGACCCGGCTTCAGATCGGGTCTAACGAGCCGAGGAGCTTAGCCCTCGATTCGCTCCTGGGGCTGCTGCAGGAAGATGATAAACACGTTATTATCGCGGTGGCTCAGGGATTGGTCCCCGTCCTCGTGCACCTACTGGATTCCAGCCCTTCATCTGAAATCAAAGAGAAAACAGTCACGGCGGTCGCTAAAATCTCCACCGTTGACTCCAGCAAGCACGTCCTGCTGGCCGAGGGTTTGGGTCTGCTGAATAATTTGCTGCGGGTGCTCGAGTCCGGAAGCGTGTTCGCAAAAGAAAAATCGTGTGTTGCCCTAACAGTCTTGAGTAATTCCAAGGAAAACGCGAGAGCAATCGCGTCCAGAGGTGGGATTTCGTCCCTGTTAGAAGTTTGTCAGGTCGGGACCCCGAATTCGCAGGCCCTTGCAGCTGGGGTCTTGCAGAACTTAGCGGCGTTTGAAGAAATTAAGGACAGTTTTATCGAGGAGAACGCGGTTTCGATTCTGCTGGGGTTATGCGATTCAGGTACTCTATTGGCGCAAGAAAATTCGATTGGGTGCTTGTGCAATTTGGTATCTGGGAATGATAATTTGAAGCTGTTAGTTGCTAGGGAAGGGATAATTGAGAATCTAAAGAATTTGGCAGATTCTGCTTCTACAGCTCAGAATCTTGAAGTTGTTGCACGAATGGTGAGCACGTTAGCTTCTTGCCCGAACATTGCAGAATCTCTCGTGGCGAATGGTTTTGTTGATCGTGTGCTCAACATGTTGAGTTCCGGGGTTTTAGGAGTGAGGATTGCAGCTGCTAATGCACTGTGTGATTTGGGTTACAATAACAAGATCAAAAAGGAATTGGGTGAGATAGGCTGCATTCGGCTTCTGGTGGGCATGCTGGACGGTAAGGCGACCGAGGAGAAAGAGGCTGCTGCGAAAGTTCTATCGATGCTTATGAATTTTATTGGGAACAGGAGGATTTTCAGGAAGGTGGAAAAGGGAATAGTTAGCGTTGTGCAATTGTTGGATCCTTTGGTGAAAAATTTGGATAAAAAGTATCTCGTGTCGATATTAGCTTCCCTCATGAATTCGAAGAAATGTCGAAAGCAAATGGTGGCAGCTGGCGCGTGCGTTTATTTGCCGAAGCTTGTAGAGTCGGATGTAGAAGGTGCAAAGAAGCTTCTTGATGGCCTCGAGCGGGGGAAGCTATGGGGAGTCTTTGGTAGGGCATTGAGTTGAGTCGACAGTGGCTGAGTTTGTCGGGTTTTTGGATGATGCACTATGTGTGTAGAACTTGTGTATTTTTTTTTTTAATAATTTGTTCTCTGTCATTGATTTTTACTTTTTCTTTACTTTCCACATTGTTCATAATTTTTATTAGAGTTTGTGGTAGCAAAAAGTAAACGGTGTTTTAGTCTACTTTGCCTCTGGAGGGGCTGTGTTTAGAAGTTTTCAGTTTCTTTTTCTTTTTCATTTTTTCTTGGTTTGGTGACCTAACTTGAAGATTGACTTATGCTTTGTTATGTATGGTTCAATGAGATCATTGAAATGTTATATGTTTTGCATACGATGAATTTGACATTCCTTTACCTTGTGATGAAGGTACATTATTTTGATAAGTCATTTTCTTGATTGATTGTCTTGATATTTATGACACTCTCAGGAGGAGTTACTGCTAACAAGTTTTCTACAAACAACTAGTTGTAACCTGTGCATTTGCACAGAAAGTATTATGATAAAGAATAAAATAATAAAAATACAAACAATAGTAAAAATGATAATATAATCATTAAAAAAATGTTTTCAGAAAGAAAAATCTAAATATTATTAAATATTTATTCATATACATCGTTCGTCGTTTTGCTATCGTCAGAAATTTCAATCACCATAAATCATTATTTTCAAACTCCTTGACTCGTAAAGACGATCCAAAATTTAACACGACTCAGTTAGCCCATTTGATTTAAACTAATAGTTGGAATTTTTATTTTATATTTTTTATCAAATGGCCCAAAATATTGGCCCAATGTTTTTTTTTATTAAATGGTCAGAGTGCATGTGGAACATTCAGTAAACTTGTTGGGGAAGGGGGGAATTTAAGGAGAAAACCCTAGCACGAGGCAATTACACCGCATAAGCATCAGACTCCTTCCAAAATTTTCTCTTCCCTCGGATCGGAGAAGAAAACACGATCATTTCGTCTTATTTCATCATACCGCTTTCTAAAAAATAGGAAGTCGGTGAAATAGGTCGATACATCTCGATGAATTTGTTAAATTCTTTTATTTTTTTTTGTGTGTGTTTCCGCTTTCTAGCATATAGAAAGTACAATTTTTTATCGTGAATTATTATTAGTTAATATTAGCAATAACTATTATATAATATAAAAAATACATGATTACACTTAATAAGATGTATTAATATGAGAAGTACAAAAATTTTTGTAAGCGAAAATAGAGGAAAAATTTGAGAGGTTTTATTAAATAGGTAAAATTAAATGCTAAGCTAGCAAATATATATATATATATATATATATATATATATATATATATTATTACTATTATTATTTTCATTGTTATTATTATTATATTATTAAAAAAATAATTGTTTATAAGATTCTAAATTGGTTGACTATTCTATTAAAACAATTTACTAATTATTTTTTTTTTAAAAAAAAAATCATGAGTTACAAAAGAAAAAGATAATATTGAAATTAAATTTAATAACTTGAAACAATTGTTTATAATTATGTAACTTAAATTTATTGTGAATTATTATTAGTGGTATTAACAATAACTATTATATAATATAATAGAAACATACATGATTACATTCAATATGAAGTATTAATGTGAGAAGTAAAAAAAATATTGATGATAATTTTGTAACCGAAAATAGAGGGAAAATTTTAGAGGTTTTATTAAATATTTTATTAAATGCTATATGCCAACAATTATATATATAGATATGGTATCATAAATATACTTAGCACACGTCAATCAAGGGTGTGTTTGTATCATAAATATACTTAGCAGTGCAGTCAGCCCATAAGGTCCCTTGATTTCAAACACACCCATGGGTGTGTGTGTGTGTGTCTGTGTGTAAATCAAGGCCCCTAGGGCTGCCTGCATTGCCCCTAGGGGCAGCATCGAAATTTCCCCGATTAATCGTGTAATATTGGGATTTTAGTCAAAAAGAATATGTTCCTTTTAGCAGAAAACTAGTACGTAACCCCGTGCGATGCATGAGCTATATTTATTTTGATAAAATTTATAATTAAATTATTAATCAATAAGTTATAATACATAGAGTATTTGTTAGGTAATCGTAAAATGTTCGTCATGAAAAAGTCATACATTATTAAAAATATCGTCATTTTTCCATGCAAAATTACTTTGCACTTGGCAACCGTAGACCGATATTTACCAAAATTGCTCTCCAGTTGGTAATTTCGAACTGCATAGACACCCTTTTACTTTATTATTATTTTTTTTTGTTGATTTTCGTTATGTTAGCACCACAAATTAAAATTATAGTGTAAATATGTAATATTGTGATAAATACTAAAGATATAATTTATTTGGTGAAATTTAATTTTATATAGAATATAAAAAAAAGTTGTTACATTAAAGTGTGGATTTTGAGTATATCTTTTTTTTTTCAATCATTCTCGTTTTTTATTCCAAATTCATTCCAATATTGAGAACAATTTTGTTTTTGTTATGTTTTAATAGAGATTTGGATTTTTGATTGTATCTTTTGTAAAACAATATTTACAAAAATAATTACGTTAAAAAAAATAACAATGATATTTTATCATTTGTAGCTCAAAACTAACTAAATGAATCAGATGTAATGAAAAATATTGAATCGTGGTTAAATTATTTGATTCCATAATTATACTGAATTTAAAATGATACTTCATAATATTTGATTCCATAATAACATTGTTTTTAAATATAATTGATTTCAACAATCGGATTTAGTGTTTAATCAAATATGATAAAATATTTATTTAAAACAATAAATCCGGTTGTCGAGGGAAGTTAGAAGTGATTGCAATTAATACTTCGAGGTTTGTTTTAAGGAATTATGTAAAATTACTATAATTAGGATGTAATTAATGCATAATGGCAAGAAATGCATATTATATTTGATTTGCATTCTTATTATATATATAGATATAGATAATGTAAAATAATATTGAAATGAAAATATTATTTAATGTAATTTATCAGGAAAAAAAGGTAAATTAACCATTTGTAGTTATAAGAATACTAATGATTAAATAGTAATTTTTTAATAAATTGGTAGAATGTTAGATTTCTAATTAAACATTGGATTAAAAATTCTAAAACATAAATTAAATAAATAATATATATATATGTATATATTTTAATTTGTGGAAGGATAAATACCTTTGAGGTGTAAGAGGTCAAACAGGAAGCAGTGGAGATACACGACCATGTCCATGCCGGAATTATATTATTCCATATATTTTGCCTACATATTAGCAAATTGAGATTGTATCAGTTTATTCTTAAATTTCTGGATGTATCAATTTATTCCATAGATCAATATCTAACCAAATTTTGAAAAGTGAATAAAAATGGAATTGTATCAATTTATTCCTAAAATTATGGATGCTCATTAATTTCTTATCCTAATTATCCTAACATTCTAAATTTAGCATGTAATTAATGAAATTGGTGGAAAAAAGTTTCTAAAAGTGAATTATGTTAATTCTTATTATATATAAATAGATTGGTGGCAGATTCTATTCATGTTCTTTGTTGTAAGTTGCCGGTCTTGTTTCTTTTTTTTTT